GAAAACCTTTTATTTCAGACATTAACAGCTGAATTCACTGCTTTCTCAGCTCATAAGTAAAGTTTTTTTTTAATCAAACAGCTTTGTGAGTGCAAACATTCGCCCTTTATTGCCGAATCTTTCTGCRTTACGAATAGGACTGAAACAAGCTGGACTCGACTCGTTTCTGTAGGTTTAATTGTGCTTTGACTGGTTTATTACCTCCTGAGCTGCAGGTACTTGGATCCCCTTAATTCTCTCAAGTGGTGTGTTGACAGTGAAAACAAGCCGGGGGGACAAACGCCAAGAGGGATCCGAGGATCTGATTGCACAGACCAAACCCCCCTCTTCTACTTGGCCGGGGCTACAATGGAGGTCTGGAGGAAAAGATGGTTGTTCATTCAAAAGACCTGGAGGTTTGCCAATGTGCAAGTGCGCCTGAAGTTCCTTTAGATCCTCCTGCTGGAATGAGAAGAGTGTTTTTAGATCCACGAGGATGCGGAGTAGTTAAAACTACAAGAAAACCTGTTGGTAAATTTGGTAAGGTGGTCTTAATTTGATTGGGGGKGTGTAGTTTGAGTCTTGGTGGTGGTAAAAACATGAGACAGTCAGATGGCAGCGGGTAGGAATACAGGAGGAAAAGAGGAAGAGAGTAAAAAACATCTGAAAACTCTCAGAGAACAAAGAGGTTTTTATTCAGTCAGCAGCAACAGCTGAAAACATCTTTGAGTTTCTTCGGCTGACAGTTTACATCTGCAACAGACCAGGAGAAACCTTAAACCTGTTAAATACCTGTGCATTTCCTCTTCTGATTAAACAGYATTTTCTGTCAAACAGATTATTTTTTAAAATATAAGTAAAATATGATTAATAATATGAGACCCATCACATCGAAATGAGGATTAAGTCAAATTTGGTCAAAATGACCTAATAACATTTTAAAATTCTTGTCTTTAAAAGCTACATTTTGATACCTGGATCATTCTGATATCATAATTAAATCCATATAAATGACTTAATTTGTCTTGTTGGTTACAATAATAC